CTTCACGCCTTGTAGCCCGGCTTTGTGCTGTCTTCATCCCCCGCAGGGGCAGAATGTGGATGGGGATTATGGATACAAAGTTTCCGTGCGGGTTGCCCTTTGCAAACTAATGAAATCACTTTTTTTCGAGGACCATTGTATCGTCACGTAAAAACTGTCGGCCATGACCCTATCGGTTGGAGACCCAAAACTGAATTTTTTTTTTCGAGAATGGCACACAATGCGTGCGTGTGGCGTAAAGGGCCACTGCGCTGTTCGTCTGATAAACAACGCTTGTGCGATTAGTACGACTTGCAATATTTTGGGCAAAGAAATCGTGTGGACAGTATTCTGAAACAGTCGAAATAACATCTTGCGAAATGCAAGATTTGCAACCAAACATTTACAAACATACCAGATGACATCAAGACTCGAGGCGAAATGCCAGTTTCTGAACAAATATTAGGCTTTTTCGAAGTATGGTTTATCGATTCTGACCGTAATTTATTCAAGTTTACTTATATTCTGAAACTATTTCGGAATGAGATGAGCTTCTGGTTTTCATTTCAATTTTTAGTTCCATTATCCTCTAACTGAAATCAGTCCAACTGAAGATTTGTGTAGGGTGTGAAGGTAATACAGGCATTTCAACGGACGTGGACAGGACAAATTCAAAAACAGGGTCGGACCCACCCCCAAAACTTGGTTTAAAATATTGAACTCTGAACTTTTGCAGAATACAAAATGATAGTAAAGCTGAGTGTGGAAATTGTTAATGAACACATATTTAAAACTTCGTCACGATATCAATGATTCTCAACACCATCTGTAGCTCGTCTGTCGAGAGATAACCTTTGACCCCAAAGTGTGCAGAAAAAAACAACTTTATCCCACCTCAATAATATTAATTTGATTATCGCGCCGGCTCAAACAATCCCATGAAGTCGGTGATGATTGGAATACCAGCCGGAACGGAATAGTTCAGTCAACTTTGGTGGTTTGACAAACAGTCGTCGTACTGTTATGTGTACCTCGAGAAATCCCAAATCGCTGGTAAGTTGTGCCTTTGTGGACCCTGCACAATTCCAGTCAGTTCCTGGGGGTATGGTGTATGTTAATGTCAGCATTTATCGCATCCCCTCGGCGACACTTGTTATTTTTGCATTACATAAAGGAAATATCAAACATCGTAAAATATGACTTATACGAGAAGAGCGTGACAGGTGATGATGAATATTCCCTCTCGTGAAAATAGCATTGATACAACTAAGATCTTTTGTTAGATGCAGGTTACTAGCCGGTTGGGCCGGAACTTGTGCGTGAAAAGCAAAAAGTCTGGTTCAGTATTTATTGCAGGTCGATTGAATAACATGAACCATGCAGGAATTTATGGAACCAGAGGCTTAACGATGCTAGTTTCCACGACAAAATATTATTTTAGCGCCTACTTTCATTGGGCCTACGATCGTACGACGATTTGAATCGTGCCGACTACACTTCACCAAGGTAATGATTTTTCCAGTCGCAGGCCTCTACGGTTGCATAAATTTGTTATTTTCAGGAATCGAAAGCTGTGTCAATTAACAATGAATGTTATTATTGTTTACCTGGGGAACATAGTCCCCATCTATATACACCGCTCCCATCTTGAATGTCAGCAACGAACTAAGAAAGGACATATCGTTAGCCATGTTGCTGAGAGAACAAATTTCAGTCGAACTGAGTGATGGTCACAAGAGAATGAGCCCCGGGTACTCTCAAAAACAACCAGCCTCGAAGAGACCAATAAATCTTCCTCGGCTTAGTATAATTGCGGTGCAGCCCTCCCACCCGGCCTTTTAACTGCCCCGCCTCTTTCAAAAGCCCGGACCAGTTCCAATTTGCGCTCAGATAACCATCATTCAAGTCTCATTAACTTCGTACCGCCGCATTCAAGGGTCTGGCCTGGTAATAAGGCCATCTTATGCATTACCCAAGATTAGCTGATTCAGATGTTCAAAAAAGAAGTTTCTACAAAAGTGGTCATAAAAACGGTGGGGGGGGGTTGCTGCCAGGGATCTCTCTTGGGAGAGGTAATGGCTTCTTGGTAATAAGCCGCTATCGATCTGTATCTCCAGAAAAGAGAAAAAAACGAGGCTTGTGTGATGTAAACGATAGTCAGGGCAGCTATTGATGGTTTGCGGGATAAAGGGAAGGTAAGATAATGTTAGGCCGAGGTTTTGAAGGCTCACATGAAATGATAGGTTCTGCGCGAGCGTTCTACACAACAGTATGTTGCTAAAAGAACTCTTCAATCCATAGCGACCATCGAGACTTCTGCGAAGCAATATCCAATTTACTTACAACAATATGGAAATCGTTTGAAACCAAGAAGAATTGTTGATTTCACAGAACGACGTTACCCCTTCAGGAACTGCGACATCGATTTAGCGAGTGGAGGAGACTAGTTGCCGTGCCGGCACGTACTGATCTTTCGGGGTATCAGCCAAGGTTACATAATTTGTCATGTTGGATATTGTCAAAATGATTGACACACACACACACCCAACCGGACTCGAGGCCATCGCTCTATTTGACTTTAGGTCATTATCAATTAATTATCTCATTTTTTATCATCGAAATGTTTACTGAGAACATCGGCGTTATCTTTCTTGCTGCATAGTTGACGAAAGACGTTGCCTCCTAATTCGCTGGTCCAATGCTCAGAATATGTCACGTTGGACGGGGCGACAGAACATGCGCAAGTGCTATAGACTGAGCTATGCCGTCGGGTGATTTCGCTCGAGATGATTCGTCACCTGTCTGCATACCTAGGGCAACTTCGAATTTCGCCATCACTTTTAAATACAGCGGACTGATAACGATGACTTTGAAACCGAATATCGCTAAAAACACATGTTGTTGCATAGAATCTACAGCAGATTAATAGAGTACATCAAAAACCTAACATTCAGATCAGTATGAAAACCATCGCAATCTGACAAGCATTCAACTTGAAAGTTCAAATAGAAACAGCTGCCAGCGAGTAATTTTCCAGTACCCTTAGGGACTAAATTTGTGAGGTATAACTACGCAGAATAGTAACTATTTGCTTGATCCGTGAATGCGTTCTGTCAGAACTGTACGCCGCACCCTTGTCCCATACAGGACCCACGTGATACAACGTCAGATCGTGTTGAAAGAAGCGATTAATCAAGGTTGTTGGAGAGGGAACCAGTTGCTATTTAGAGTCGAGGGACTCAATGTGAACGCTCAGCTTCGGATTTTTAACCGGTATGGATTCGTTTGGCGCTCGTTTCTGACAAAGTCTGGATGCATTTGCGGCCATGTTTGTTTCCCCACAGCGCACGCTAAAGAAAGTAATTTTTCCTACCTTCGTGCCGTCACGGTTCGAGTCAACTCATTAATAGTGGAATATTTTCGTCCAATGAAACTGACCTTTGAAAGTTCGGGCTCATGAAGTTTTTACCCTTTTAAATAATTGGCGAGACCTAACAGGAAAAAATCCCAGAAAAACTCCTAGGACTTGCGTGACTAGAATGGTGACTTGAAATATCTCCTGTGCGTATGTGGTAATGACATAACTTCCTCACAAAGCACCGATGCCTTTGGTACTGTAGTTGTCGTACTGTGATGTTCATGATCTTCACATAGCGTGCATCATAGTTTATAACAGGGTTGTGGAAGAAAGTCTAATCAGCATATCATGAAACTGGTCAATTATCATTTCCTGGCAGAGTACAGATAGTGTGTGATGCTAAGCTTTTAAAAATGGGGAAAAATAATGTGAAAATGCTTATGCGATTTGTGAACAATCCTCGCTGTTGTCTTCAAATTTTGACCTCCGGCCGTTACCTCCAGCGGTAAAGGGTGCTCCCTTGATCCCCTCCCTCGTTGCACCATTGCATCTTCTGATAGTCATCATCTTTGGCTGTTTTCAATGACAAACACTGAACTCTTTTGCCTCATTTTGGTCACTGTAGTCGCCCCTGAGACCAAAATATCGTTTTACAAACACATCAATCTCCGCTCCCGGTACCATTGCGTCTTCAGGTACGGGATCTTCCGACCTCCAACAGCGATAAACTGTTCTGGTTCATTTTGTAAGTTTCCCCAATTCGGAAGGGCCCAAAGCAATTGACTCATGAACTGAAATGTGTACTTGGACTCCAGCCACATTCCCCCCGGCGATTACAAAAATGTCGGCCTTGACGACTGCCTACGCTCAGTCGTTCTGCTTGCTGTTTTTACATTTGGACAAATGGCCAACTTCAAGTGCAATTTTCGAATCAAGACATTAATGTCTATGTATATTGAAAACACCACGTGTGCCACATCTCTGTTTGCATGACCTGGACTTTTCATGTCGAATTCTAAGTGGCTATTGTTGCTGGTCGTCTTGATATACCACATAAAATATCGATTTTGAGGTTTGTCTCTGATAATGAAGTCGCAACATAAATTTGACATATTCTGCAGGTTTCTTTTCAAACAGTAACTGTGACCATAATATTAGGTCTATGCCATGTTTTGACATGATTGTTTACGATAAACTTTCGTTAACAACAAAATAATTCTGTTATTTGACAGATGTTCTTGCCATAATGCTTCGAATTTCGTTTAGCAATCAATCAAGAGGAAGTAATTGTACGTCAGTCTTTCAGTTCTACAAACCTGTTGTTCAGAAATTTAACTCACACAGGCTATTAATGAGACCCGAGGAACCAAGTGCATGGAGCTCCTAGATATGTGAGAGTTTGCTACAACACATTAGAGGGATCGATTTTTCCGATTCCGTAATCCTTGTTGTTTACAAGACCCCATGATATCGATGACCGCCCAAGAGAGCAGTACATGCAACCTTGGGTGACAGACACCGTCAAGACAACGCGTCCCGCCCGCTGCAAAAACCCGTCCAAGTGAAAAAAAAATTAATGCCGACCAACCGACGTACATGTACTTGAATTCGGCAAAACTATTACAGCAACAGCTAAAACACGCAGAGATAAAGAGTGACTTACCACCAAATTCCCGAGGCGTAAACGTGCCCGATTCTCACTGTAAAACTCCCAAAGATGAGACATATTGACAGCCACGCTTTTAACTCCATTGTGCAGCGGAATATTCCCGTCACAAAGTTCTCCAGAAGTTGAGTTCCACAAAAATGCTTCGCTCGTCGCCGTTGAACTCCGGATCTGCTCGGGAAAAACACAACCAACGCGCCCTTGGGAAAAAAAAATAATGACTGCACTCCAGAAGTTTTTCGCCGACTGATTCTACTCTTCTCGACACAAAGCAGGCAGCCGATCCATAAAGCGACACACAAAACCAAATTTCCTACTGTGTTTGCGATACCAGCGGACTTTTGGTTTTTATACGCATGGACGCGCTCGATCTCCCGTCGGCCTATCGGTGATCTGAGGGGGTTTCTATAGCGGGCAATCGGCTTAATGCTCGCTATACAATTAGAATATCAATAGACTAGCTAGGTATCGAACTCAGTAAGTCACGCGCGGCAACAAAAAAGACGATGACTTGAGTCGAATCACAGGCCGTGCCGCACCGTCCATGAACAACTTGTCGTCCTGGTCCAACAATGGGTTTTTGTGCACGTGAAAGCCGGCAGAGATGACCACGCTGGCCATAAAATTCAAAAGTAAACTTGAGATGACAATCAGTGTACCATCCATAAACCCCTGCTTGACACAAGGGGGATAGAACTCGATTGCTGGGCCACAGAGATTTCAAAGAAATGTCGTGGTTGTGTTGGGACTTGTGTTGGGCCAGTTACACTGTACCGAAAGACAGCCCAATGGCGATTGCAAAACTTGCCACGTGGTAGTCTACAACTTATCGGCCCAATCTACCAGCTTGTTTCCTCCATCAACAAGGGGATATGTACATGTACATTCCTCAAAACTTTCTTAATCTTTCCAGTCGATCTTGGGCTTAGCCCAAATCCCGACGATAATTTTCTGTACCAATGGAGGATTAAACTGTTATATAGTTTCGCAAGGCATTGCTGTTCTGACCCGGCAGTGATTCAAGTTATACCGCATTGCAGCAATCAAATACATGTACTGTACTGTACTGTACATATGCCCAAGTGACATGCGCGCTAACCCAGGCCCAGCCTATCTGCGCACCTGTGTTTCGGTACACTCAAAGATCCGCGAGTGTTGTGAAATTTGAACTCTTCTACATATGTTTTTTTCCTCGAGAATTTTTTGCAGATCGGTAGCCTAAATTGTCTTTGTTTGGAGCATCTGCAACGCTGAATTCGTTACTGGCTTCTCATCTGATCGATTGTCTTGCAGCAGTCAGCCATGTTGTACCGTGAGCCTGCTCCGCACAATTTTAAGTGATATCTCCCTCTGATTATTCGAGTATTATTGTCTAAACAAGCTTTAATGGACAGCGTAAAGGGGTTATACATGTATATCTAGGTGAGCTAATATGGAATGGACAAAAGATGAAAGATAACGGCAGGTGTTGGGAAATAACTATGCGATGACCATCGTGATAGAAATGTCCCATGTGTATTCATGGTCATCAATCAAGGTTCTCGTGTCGTGGGGCTCTGTCCAAAACGACACGGCTGTACCTGTATACTATGTTTATTATCAACATGTTCCTACGTAATTTGTAACGGGAGAAAACCTTGACCTAGCTCTAGACAACACATTCGGATGCGGCGGTTATCGTTGACGTTCATCAATGGCATGTTAATGATTTACCCTTTTGTAACTACCTGGCAACGATTGGCACAGCAATCTAATTAACAGTCTACGTTACGACTCGTGGGCACCACTGATCGAAATACTCTTCAAAAATGCGCCAACAGAAGTTCTCATACATGCGTCAACACGAGACGAAATTTAGCGTCACATCACACCCTGGCCCCACACCAGTCCTGTGGTATGACGCTGGATTCAAGGCAGAATAGTCTGTGAGGGAGTTGGTTCTGCACAACAGTCTTAATTGAAGACCGATTTACATGTACTTGTTCATTTGTACTTGTGTGGGAGAAAGACCAGAGGGTTCGGAATGGAGACCTTTCCATTCATGCAATGGTTACAAGAAGGAAACGTGTAGACTACAGTGTTCATGTTTGCATGCAGTTGCTGATTCGCTGGTTCCCTTTCTTTTAACCCAGCTCCAATTTTGTTCCTTCTGAGACCTTGAAGTTCCCCTCGTGAACAGAATTTCATTTTAAGGTTATAATGTGCCATCCAAATGTTTATCATGAACTTAAAACAAGAATTCCTGATATCAAAATGTTGGATTGAAGTTCCAGGCCAGGCGTAGCATGAGTCATCTGATCCCAGTTACCGCCTTTTCTCTAACCAGCGTACATGTGCATGCTTCCCTTATCGTCTGCTAAATTCATTAGTGACATGTTTGCCAAATGCTGAACTTGATTCAATTTGATGGGTAATTTTTTTGGGTTGCTTAAACCCGAGCCTCGAATTGGTTATGCGGAGCCTGGCTTAATGGCGCAGCTGTACCGTGGAGAGGAAAATGTAGCGGGATGACATTATGGTCATGCACCTTGGGCTTTTCGTCGTCTGTGCCTGGAGCCTGTGACCTCTGGTTGACCTCATCTTATACCCTATGGGTTCTGGAGTATCCATCATGGTCGAGTTGCTACAGGAAACCCGTGTTTCCCCTGTATCCGTGAAGTGACTATCATATGGAACGGTGGAAGCAAACATTGATGAAGATTGATCGAATATTCAATGAAAAACGAAAATACATCCAGTGATGAGGTCAGGCATATGAGTATATTAAAGTGGCAGAAATGGTGTAATTTTCTACCATTTACAACGATTCAAATCACGTTTTTCAAGTCATAACTTCCAAACAGATAAGACGTATCTGTCGCTTTAAATTTGACCTACAAATAAGTAGGGAACTACAATTTAAAAAACGCGATCCTTTTTGGAGTTCAGGTTTTTTCTTCTGCTAAAAATCAGAAAGTTATTTCAACCGAGATGGGAAAATTCCTTCATAACGCAATAAGCTAAAAGCACGGTAAACTGATTTAGCGAACATACAGAGGCATTTTGATAAAAAGGTAGTTTTCTCGGGGGAAGAATACAAACAAATAGCAACTTTGATAGTTTTAGAGAGTGTATAAGCAAAATCAGATCTATCTCTCCTCGACCCAACCAAGATTCGATTTCTTCAAGTCTGCATGGTTTGGTTCCCCGGCTGTCCGCGCATACCCCCGAGAGTGTGGGGAACAGCTGTGACCGGCTAACATTCTTGATTCGCATCGTCCTTCCCGGGGTAATGATCAGTAAATTCAATTTCAGCTCATTAAGACAACATGCACTGGATACCGATATATACATTCAGAGAGTTCATCGCCCTTCAAAAGAAAAAAATGGCGGAGAGAAAGTAGGTTACATACTTTCCAATTCGAGCTTGATGTCGTGTTTCAAAAAGTAATATGGAAAGATACCGGTACTGGAATTGTATTAATTCGATGGTAATTTCATTTTGAAGTCTGCCATTTCATTTATCACGAGGACAGAGTACAAGATTATAATGAAAGGAAGTCAATCAAACACATCAACATGCGCACCAACCAACAAGCTAACATATTGAAAACGTATTTCCCGACCAAATTTGGACAAGAGCCGTCAGCCAGTTCTCCGGATTTTGACTTGTAGGGCATTGATACCAACAAGCAAACGACTCGACCGACAAATAAGAATACATGTACTCTCAAAGACTAACGAACCTAAAGTCAATGATGAAACAGGTGAAACAAAACCCATCTTTATTGAAATTATGCCAGTAAAATTGATCCAGAATGCTGACAAGCCATTCAGTCCCATTCCCAAGGCCATGGTCAGGCTTCGATTCTCCTTGAACTTTTCATTCGTGGAATTCCACGGTAGAAAGTCAAACGCTCACACCGCCCGAATCCGATCGACCCAAAGAAGTCTGACAAATTACTTTAATCCCGCGGTTTAGTGAGTTGTCGTCAACAAGCTAACGAGGAGGTCCGTTGAATCTCACCGCACCCTGGGCTCCTCACTTTTCCGGACGATTGCATTAATTCACCGGGACTTAGGGCGGTTTTGATGACTCCCAAATGCCAAGAACTTGGCACAGAACCTGGTTTAGATTCAATCAAGACAGCCCTCGGAAATGTTGAACTTGTTTTTGTTCTAAAAAAATCATTCGGATTTAAATGATCAAAGGGTTTAACCACTTTCTGCTTACTATACGGATATGTTTAAGTAAGTTATCGATCAATCAAGTAATTGAAACCAGTCCACTTAATTAACCATTAAGTTCGCAAGTTCTGAAAACACACTTCTATTTATCAAGCACCTTGGTTGAGATCGGCAAAAGAAACGTAAGAACTAGCGCTGCGGTTCCCAGTGTTAAGTGTACATTGTCTGTTCATCCTGTTCTCATCAAAACTGCCAATGGAAAACTGAAGAACACTGAGAAGAAGAGTGTCGCACATATGGTTTATTCATTATAACCTAAGTCAACTTCTACGTACCGCGAGGTGGCGCTGTACAACATTTACGCTGCGGCTACAGACGTATGGGCCGAGTTCGGGCGGCTTGTTCTCGTTTGTTCACGAACAGCTCGATTTGTTGTTCGTGGGTCGGTCGCTCGAACGCCGGGAATGTACAACTGGTTATTAGCGCTAGTAGTTATTTGTGGACGTGGCAAGCAACATGCAACATGGCAGCGTCCTTGTGCATTCTTCGAGAGTTAATGTTGGATAATTGGGCTTACTTCTTTTCCATTAGAAAAATTCATTTCTGTCACGGAAAATTATTGATATTAATTTTGCAAAATTTTCCATAGTCTTCGGCTTTTTAAAGCCATATCGGTACTTTTTGCGGCTGTTCAAAAATCAAATCTCACGAGTTTTTCCGTGTGTTCGTGTGAAATCCTGACGAGGAGGTGGTGTGCGATCCTGTTCCGAGAACAGTGTTCTTGGGAAGTGTTCCCGCCGTTCGAGCGCGAGAACACGCGTCCGTGTCAAGAACGGACCACCCGAACTCGACCATGCATGAACGCATGTCTGTGGCTACGGTACCAGCAGACTGTGACCAACAGCGCAGCATATACATGTACTTCTGTCTTATTAGTACTCTTCTTAATTGTAATTCTATTAAAACAGCCTTTCACTCAATAAATGTGCACATGGTCACACAAAATTGCGACGAAATAAAAATGTTGTGGTACCCTGACAGAAAAAGACTTTCCTGCTTAGCAGATTGGACCTCAGTAAGCCTTTAACTGACAGTGTAACATTTTGTTCTTTATAGTTCCAACCAGCATTTGCTGACCGTATGGGCAAGCCACACTGGAACCTCTCAGAAGCTCGCCGTCATCAATTAACACTTCTCTCACGTCCGCGTTAAGCTCTTCGTCCAAGCTCATTTTTAGAACCTGTAGGTAAGATTGAAAATTGATTACTGTTAAGGTTAATGTTGAAGAAAACAATTTATTACCAATGTGCAATGTCATAATTATGTTATGGAAATGATTTAAGACTTCGCTCTCAGGCGAATCAGGATTCATGACTGATTGCAGAAAACACTGCCAGGGACATAAAAGGCTGCCAAGGGTACAGGCAAAATGCACGTTTCAGTTTTAAGAACGAACAGAGGGTTAGCGGCTTGGCGTAGCGGTTCTTTCCTCGCTTTGCACCAGTGAGGCTCGGGTTCGAGTCCCGGCTTAGCCCAGGCTTTAAGTGCATTTGGTTTCCAGTCCATATTTGTTCTCGAGGTTTTCTCCAGGCACTCCGGTTTCCTCCTGCCTCTAAAACTGGACCTTCTTCCTATCTCCGTAATGTGATGCTGATTCATAACAACAAGAACGAAAATGATAGGGTAGTATATTCAATCTTAGCCGCCCCGCCGAGTTCTGTACCTGCGAAGGTCCTTTGTTGCGGTCGGTTTCGTCTCCCATGAATAATCTGTAGGGCTGAAAGTGGCAACCAAGCCACAGGGCACCAGTGGCTCTCTCCACTTCGATGTTATCTACGACAGTGTGCATGTCAATTTTCTGTTGGCATGCGTGAGAAAAACATTGACGAATCTTTAGCGTGAAAACAAATGTTCGGGCAGGCATAGAATACAAAGATGACTTCATTGTAAATGTTTGATTCATGTTGTGCTATTTAAAGAAAAATGCAATCACATTATTAAAGAAAGCTTGAAAGCAACTTAAAGATGTCTCTCGTCGTTAACAACACACCAGAACAGACCACACTATTCATGAAGGGACGAGTTCGCTATTTTAATAAAAATTCACGACTTTATTTCAAGGTCATTCACCTTAAAAAACATTAGATGACCACTCTCCTTTCTTTCGAAAATGTTGACTTGACTGTCAAAGGCTCCTGCCACGTAGACATACCTGTGAAGATAGGTAAATATTGGTGACAGAAGCACCCTTCTTATCATCTTGCTTTGGGTGCAATTGCGTTTTCACAAGACCTTAACCAATCATAATTGATGATAGAGAACAAAAAAGCCTATGACACATACTTCCCGTCTGGTGATTGGTTGATTCCGTTAGCCATTGTAAAGCCCGTAGCCACTATTCGAGCCTTTTCGCCGTCATAGTAAGCCACTGTCCCGGTTGGTATTGGAGAAAATACTTCCAGAAAACTTCTGAATTTGAAGTCATTTGTGACGTAGAAACGCCTTTCACCAACTGCCACGACATCGTTTGGACTTTCGGGAAAAAGAGGTGCGAAAAATATTTTGTTTCGCTGCTCGCAACTGTAATCAACGAAACTAAATGTACACATAATCAAATAAAATGCACAGCAAAATGACAACCAAGCAATGAGCATACAACTTAGGGGCCTAATTTCAACATGATATCGTTTGAATATAGTCATGCACTTTTTAAGATGAGACCATTGCAAAATTTGTCAATTACTTTAGTTTACCTGTATATATTGTCGCTGGTAACCGTCTCAACGTGCATCAGCGTGTTAGTGTCCTGCTTGTATTCAAATAACTCAATTGATGACCTTTTCTTCCCGCGGTTTGTTGCATACAGTGTTACTTTACCTGATGAAAGATGTCGAGAATCGAAGTGTTGGGCTGAAAAAACTTTTCGAACTCGTATTTTGTTGGCGTTTGTTTGTGATAGAGGGCGCTCTATCACCAGTGCTGGCTGCACCAGCTGTATGGCAGGTCAGGCAGAACGATAAGCACACAGTGCCTACACTGTCACAAGGCCCCCTATATGCACGTGTAGTGATCACGTGACCACACTTACTTACAGACCATTGATATATAATGAAAAGACTAAACCAGTTCATTAATAAATTCTAATTTATGTACGCATACGCATAAATGGCAGGGTAGGTAACAATTTTGAACGGCCCATTCAAGCAATGCAGGGGCACAAATATCAACATCATTTTTGTCATTGCCTTGTCAGTGAGCAGGTCTATATTACCTGTCGCCTCGTCCTCCAAAATACTTAAGCCAACGTAGTTGGCGCCCTCCTTGTCAAACGACTCTCCTCGGATGTTAACCTCGCTTACATTCCGGTCCGGATAGTTGAAATCAAAAGTAAAAATTCGGGTCTTGATTTCATCTTCCATCTCCCATTCGGCTGGGGTATACTTCAGACCCTAGAAATAAAATGCGACTTTTTTAATGACCCTGTCACCCAAACATGACGAGTTGTAATGGTGATATATTTCAGCCAGTAAAGCAAACTGTTCCAAAGTGTCATACCATCCCAAAATGTATGTAACTTACAATGTTTGGATACGCTTAAGTGCTTCGTAAATTATGTACTTACGGACGAAATGAAAGCGATTCCTTTTGATGTAACAGTGATGTCCTCTGACCCAAATTCTAAATTATTCAACACAAACAACAAAAGTGGGAGCTGTTTCGGTAAGCCTATTTATACGAGTTTTGGATTTTATGCTTTTTGAAAATTTCATTCTTCATTTCTGATCAGTTACTGTGGAGCACAGTTAGGTCTTTTTAGTCATCAAATTTAATTCAGATTGAAGCGAGAGAAGACGTCAGGAGTGATACTTACCAATTCCAGGTACCAGACGGCATGGCCCTGGTGTGTGGTTGAACACGTGTCTGTGCACGCCCAGCATCGTCCTGTGAAAGGACGAAGTTATTAAGGTCACAAACAGTATAGGCCTACCCTACAAAATGGGTTACAAATTCGCCAGCAGCAACTTTCAAGTATTTATCTAAAGTCTAACCTAGTGATTTTTGTCTCTTTAATCCATGGTGCTTTTGACGCTGTAAAACTCTATAACGTCAGCCATTGTAAATTTATTCCCACACACCTAAAGGATTATGAAGCAATCTTTGTTTAGACATACACTGACACATAGCTAACAAATATGGCTAGCGTTCCGTGATCAAAATTGGCTTAGTGGCAGAATCAGTAAAGAGAATCTGAGAGAGGGGAGGTCGGATGCTAAAATGACCAGGAAAAGTCCAGCCAATATCGTACAAACTAACAATAGCTGGCGTGTTCACGTTCGACAGCTCCTTTCAACTTCAAGCCCGAGACATTCTGGAAATCAGGTACAGACGGAGCCAGTTCGTTCGCCCATTCAAAGTAGACTTTTTGACCAGCTGAGGTAACATTACAACATATGAAACGCAAGTAAAATAACACCTAATTCGCGGATAATTTCGTAACACAGCAATCAATGCTTTTACCATCCATTTACATTATTCCAGTTTTCCAATTATTGTCAATATTTTCATGTATTGCATTTATAATCCATTTTGCCATCCCTGTTTGCTCCTATCCTTAGTAAAGTCCTGCTACTGTACACCCTTCAGTTGACTACCATACACTACTCGTAGAAAAAGTGTTTCTCACGGTGACTTCCATGTGCTGCCGTGTTAAACACCGCTTGGCTGATTAAAACCCAAGGATTACCCCCCCCATGCCTGCGATGTGCGTACAGTAAAACTTGCTGAAACTATTCAACGGAATGGCACTCACGCGAGTTTGACGGTGTACCGCACGCATACGACCAGCATGAGCACAAGTGTTGCTTTTCCCAAAGTCCCCGCCATCGTGAATGTGTTCCTGTCGACTGAGGTTTTGCAATGGCACAATTGCACAGTATCTGGCCAAGTGACGACTCCACCTCGTATACGTGTAACCGGCGACGGTTGACTGCTTAAATACACACATAACAGCAACTATTTCGTTCTCAATGCGCAGATCTGACCCCGTATCCGGCCGGCCGCTGAGGTAGCGAGCAACAGGGTGGTACGGAGCCCCTAAAGGGACACATGATGAAAACAAATTTAGACGCAAAAATAATTTCAGTTCAATCTTCACTATGTTCACTCGAAATCATTTCACGAATATGTTTCCACCACATTTCTCTTTAGAGGCTCCGTGGGGTAGTCCGTTTGGACTCAGTTGCAGTTTGTCCCTACCGACTCTATTTACAGAGTACATGTACTCAATTCCACCTCGTAACCGGTGACACTGAGGGGTGTTTATCAATTGGCGGGGTATTCTGCAATTGCCCCCCCCCATTTATGTACACGTACACAGAGAAACGACTTCATGCATATCAGTATAGCTTTATCGGGCTAGTTGGTCCTATGATTTGCATATGACGTGACCTGATTAAACACCGACGTTCACATTGTCGATCGTGGAGTAGCTAACGATTGAGAGGATTTCTGGCATGGAACTCTGACTAAATTTTTTTTTAAGTGTCTATAGATTCACCTTGGACCGTGTTCTTGCTTTTTGACTCTACCCCTGGCAACTCTTTTCAAATGCTCGATAGCTGCAGGCCATTTTACGCTGTGTTAACGAGTGAAGCAACGCGATGGTTCACGATTCCTCCGTTGAAATTTGAGGAGGGAACCGCACAGTCTCAACATGGAGGAAGGAGGGGAATTTCTCCACAAATGTTGTTGTTCATGGAGTCGATATTGATGACAGTGACTTCACTTCGAACAGTCGATGGTCTTTTATAGTACTCTAAAAAAGTTACGTCTCTAAATTATGAACGAAATCGAACCTTTGTAATATTACAAAGATTACTCATTTTTTTCCTTGCTTACACTTTGAAAACTAGGCCTACCTTGACAGCGATATGTAGGCATACATGGTTGATGTCTACTAGTAACTCACTAGAAGCCAATTTCATTTATTTCACTGTTAAACCAATATACTTGAAAGGATCAAATTTTGTACAGTCGACAGGGAAATTCCAGTGTACTTACGTAATGCAGGTCCGGTCTTCGTTCTAATTCACATGACCTGCTTGGCACCACCAAGAAGGTCATGTAATTAACCTTTGTCTTTTTTTGTTCGTCTTTTATCCAACATAAACATGCACACTTTATTTGCAGAAATATAGGTCAAATATTCCAGCATATTCCTTTCATCGATATTGTAATATTTTAAAACAGTGAAAACTGTCATGCTTTATTTCTAAAACAAAATCAGTTTAACTGAGTATTTACCCACGGACGCAGTCGGAAAAGGTAATTTCCATTAGACCTACTTTTCCTTAAAACATGTAATCTCAATAATAAACTAAAAAGATAATCAACAAGTTAATAACCTTTCACAATGTCATTCCTTATCACAATCAAGCCTTCATCTACGCTCTTTTCTAGAACGCTAGGAGATCACACATCATCATCTGATTGCCAACTGTTCCGACCAGCATTTTCTGACCGTAGACACTGGCCACACTGGAGCCTTTGAGCAGTGTGCCGTCGTCGGCGAGTACCTCTCGGATCTCGGGGTTCAGTTCTGCATCGAAGCGCACCCATAAGACCTGTGAAATGACAGTACGAGTATTATGGAATGATGGCCTTTGAAATGTGTAATAATTGTCTCAGGGCAAAAATTTGCCGTTTATTTTTCCGAATTTTCGTGAAAAACAAAAAGTTAACAAAAGATACCAATGCAAATGATATCAGGACTTTTTTCCTTCCCTGATGCTTTTAGCTTGTAAGTCCACAATGTGGAGTCGCTGATTAGCTTGCAGCCGCTCACCTGAGTGGTTCCCACCCACCTATCTCCGGTCATTACATCGAGTTTATAGGGCAGGTAGTGGCATCCCAGCCACAAGTCTCCTTTACTGTCAACGTTGATGTTGTCAACTGACGTGTGCATGTAGATTTTCTGGGTAAACATTGTACAAAAGATGTCGAATTCAAAGATTTTGCTCAAACGTTTTGGGCGTGTGTGATAATTGTAAGCAATTGCCGATATCGATTACTGATTGTCAGTACTGTAACCATTTTCCATTGATAGATTAATCGGCCCTTGTTTTTAATTCAACATTCACAGGATAGAGAAATTTTCACTAGTAATCATGTTCATAGCTTATAAAGGTTCATTCAAAACAATTAACATTGTAGTTTCGCTATTCGATCTTTTTGCCCCCATTCGTTAAAAAGCCTTCATATGTACTAAATATTCGATACTTGTGAAGGCCTTTTTGCGAATGGAATGTTGCACTGCATAATGAATAGATACCACTGCGATGACATGTTCATATTGTATGCTTTAAACTTGCCTTTCGGAACTCCAATGAACCGCGAGGGTCGTTCACGTTTCTCTCATAAACACTGATTTCGCCATCCAGTAAACCAGAGACATAGATGAACCTGCAATCGCAGAACAGGGAAAAGAAAACTTAATATTAGATAAAGAAAAAGCCAGAAGTTGCAATCTGCATTCAAGTTTACCTCCCCCGATTTGGTTTTTACCTTCCATCTGGTGATCGGTTGATACCGTTGGCTACGGCGAACCCACTGGCTACTTGCTCGGCCTTGGAACCGTCGTAGTAAGCCACTGTTCCCGTCGGTAGGGTTAGAGCGACCTCCAGAAGCCGAAAGCGATCAAGGCGAAGATCGTTGGTGGCGTAAAACGTGTCGGCACTTGTAGCTATCACATCATTGGGTCTGGGAATGATGAATGAAATGACCTATCAAGATGTAGCACTCGGTAATTTCCGTTCGGTGACTCGTGCCATTCAAGACCATCAATAACAAGACTTAAGAAAACTTGGGCTTACGCAAAAATATTGTCGTCTATAACCGTCTTTCGATGGTGCAGCGTTTTAGAATTGTGGTCGTAATCAAACAATTCAACCGACGGTGTTCTTGGGTGTAGTTGTTTGTTGACCACAAACACGGTGACTTTTCCTGATAGAAAGTAGGCAAACACAATTTTATGGCACGCTTTTCAAACCCGTTTTTTTTTCAATTCACGGACGAAACTTTCCTTGTAAACCCGAAATCTATTGAGAACAATCATTTGGCTTTCTTTCTCAGGGTGTTCAACATTGATGCAATAGTACGATGTCCAGAGTAGTTACCAACAGAAACGGCATGTGAGCCCGAGAGGTGAACGCTTGTACAGTTTATACGCCTATCTGTTTGTTGGTTAAAGGAACAAGGAAATGAGATTTTCTTAGAATTACTTTTTGTCTATCTATGTACTCTTCTTCCATGAATGAAGACGGTTTGACATCTTTTTTGAGTTACGTGAACTGAGCGGTGCACTTTTTCAATCATTAAAAACTGACCAAGCATTTCTGGACAGGTGAGGGCGCTTTTGCTTTGATGTAAATCCAGGAAGACGTGGTTCAGGTTGCATGCTTTACTGGTGGAGGATATTTGAGGGTACTACGAGGCACTCACAGATTCAAATTATTTGCATACCATTCAACTTACACAGGACGACCATAGCTTATCACTTATCTTTTTTTCTTTTAAGGTTAAATTAAAACTGTGAAAATACCAGTGTTGGGGTCCTCCCAGGCGCTTGTTCCAAGTGGTTTCATGGCCGTCTTGTTGAAGGAGCTCCCCGTGATCTTTACTTCCTTCACGGCGTCGTCCGGTTTGTTAAAGTCAAATATGTAAATACGGCCTTGGATGGAGTTTATATGAGCCTCAGTGAGGGCCACGCCCTAACATTAAATGAGTTTGGGAAGTATCAGTTTGAAAAATGTGTGTAGATCTCCTGTCCAAGTTGACATTGGTTCGGAACAATTGAATGCCGATTTAACTGAAACGTTTGATGGAGTTTATACAATCTGTTCGTTGTTTGTTCGACTAAGATAACATCAAGTAACAACAAATCAAAAGAACCTACCGATGTGATGAAGGCGATGCCATTGGACAGTGTTGTTATATCTTCGGAGCCAACATCTGTCGATGTACGAGGGAATAACAAAATATCGGTTATTATGTTCCTGGGTAATTTGAAACTAATCCTCGGGGACACGTCAAAATTGCAGACCTTAACAAGAATGTGAATGAAGAAAGAAAAGTGTCTCTGGAAACAGATTACAACCCACTTTTCCTCGTTTAGCAACCGGCTAACTCGTTTAGCAATTGCTTGCGATGTCTTGAAGATATTCACCCATGAGATGACATTTTTTTGGTCTAGATGCGTTATTCAAACTCACCTATTCCGGGGACAATGTGACAGGGACCTGGTGTGTGATTGAACATGTGTCTGTGTACTCCCATGATGATTCTGGAGGAAATTGTGAAGAAATTATGATCATTGAGACGATAATAATGATTATGCAAAAAGCGTTTTTAAGACTTCGATGATTAGAAGATATTCCAGTGGTAACACTTTTTCCTTGAAGTTAATCAACTCTTCATAGGTTTGTCCAATTATAGGGTCTACAAGTTTAGAACTTGCAGTGAATTTTTTTTTCTTGATAAAAATGTGAATGTAATCATTTCTTCTTGGAAGTTCGTGCAGTCGCAGCGATCGGAAGTACATCGGTCCAAAATAGTTATATGAAGATGTGTAAGGTGCTTTAATGTTTGTTGCTGCTTTGAGACATTTTGCCCGTCGGAGGGGGGGGGGTCGCTACTTACTCGTGGTTACCCCCTTCATTCAGCTCTGGTATTGAATACGACCTTTCCTCCACCGATCCTTAAGCCTTATAGAATTACCTCGAACGTACAGACACCGAGACACACATGCGGGATCATTTGGGTTTCGCCTGACTGTACACTTGGCCCAAACTACATGTACATGTAGGCCTATGTCCTTGAACCAAAGTGCAGTACGTATAGTCTGTGTGCAAACATCGGTTATACAAACGTGAACGCACGCAGCCCGTGCGCAGTCATATTCTGCATGGATACTTCATATCAATGTTTTCTTCGACAAAATTTATAGTTTCAAATGCCCAGCAAGATGTGCCAACCCCGACTCTCTATATGTAGGGTAAGTGCTCACGCCAACTTCAGAAGTCGTTGAAGCAGAATTACACTTGCGACGAACAAGACTGCCTTGACGATGAAACCCGCCATGTTGGTTGGTTCAGATGAAAGATAAACTTGGCATAAATTTTATTACGGAGCTGTAATCATTGAAATGCACACCGAGGCAAAACTTGACACGAGTCATCCGTGCGGAAATGTGCATTGTGAATCAGGATGCTTGTGGAAGCGTCCGTTCGGGCCTTTGCAAATGGAGTCCGTGGTACCCATGGCACTGAGACGGACAAAGTTCGACCTTGATCGCCAATCTCAACAGTTCATCAGACATTACTGAACTGATATGACCATTTGTTAACATTTAACCTACTGCAGATTCACAGGTGTATTCAGAACAAACTTGTTCCGGGGGCCAAATTTGAGGCTATATTTTGAGGCGTATCGCGTGCTTTTTGAAGGAAGTGAAATGAACCCCCTCCCTCTAAAATCTCCCGTTTTCTCGCATTTGTCTTTTTTTTTGGGGGGGTGGCCCCATTATACCCTCCGCTCCTGATTGAATTCAGTCTTCAATTTCAGAATTATCAATAAATTCATTCTGAAGATGAGAATTATTTATGGATCTATCTGCGTGAATCATAAAAACTCCCAATTCGGGCCTTTTGTATTCACCAATAAATTTGAAGAAATGTTGCCGAAACTGATTATCTCCCATATGAATTAACCCACTTCATTTTTAATGTTGAACCTGTTCTCGTTTCGTTTGAAACAAATGACAAGTTTATTATTATCCCCAATCATCAGTTTTTATAATATAATATTAATTGTCATCTATCTTCTAATGCTTGCTTTTATTTCTGTTCCATTCCAACCGACGAATAACAAAACACCCAGTTAGCGACCAGATTTGTTCAATTATAATTTGGCCTTCAAAGAGCCGGGTTATTTTGGCCCATCTCACACCCGGGGTAGGGGCAGGGGGCGGACTCCCACCAACAAGAACTCGGCTGTGGCAAGTTTAATTTTTTTTTTTAACTTCGTACGCATGTACAGACACTCCTTATCCGTTATCATTACAACTGAGAAGTTTGAATTCAATCAGACGTAGGTTTTGTAGTTACGGTCGTTTGAATTTTCAAGGTTACATGCGTGCCAGCGCAGCCTGAATGGCAGCCTGAAAATAGTACTTCGATCTTTGTTCGCTACTTTGTGAGGTTACTCCACAACGTTTTACAAAGAAATTTACTCCATGTAAATTTCATTGACAAGAATGATAGCCAGACTGCCCCGCAGGTGCACCGACCTCTATTCATATATTTAGCTTCGTGACCTGTGATTTATCGACCACAAATGTATTTAATGTTGCTGAATTCGGAAAACTAGATTGTACAACAACTGTCTTTAGACACTTGAAGTACTTACGCTAGTCTCAGCAGCCGTTGAAGCAGAACCACACCTATGACGAACAAGACTGCCTTGACGATGAAACCCGCCATGTTGATTGGTAAAAGTTAAAAGGTGTGGATACCTCGGAGTTTATTGTGGATCATCAATGATGGAACTGTACATTGTACTTACCGAGGCAAAATGTGTCGGAAGTAATGTATGCGGTAGTATGTATTGTGATCAGGAGTGCCCTTTGGAATCAGTGATCTGTAATTTACGTGAAAGTTCAACCTTGATCGTGTATCTCAACTGTGCGTCAGCCACATGAAGTATAGTTGTGACCCCTGGCTGCATTCTTCCAGTTCTAGTGCGCAAGTACGTGAGCATTAAATTGAATATTCATGACTAAAGCACATGGCGGCTGCTTTAATACACCAAACGCGACCTGAAAGTGAGGTTACGTGAAGACAAGGCACTACTTGAAACGAGAGGCCCTGTGGTGTAACATTGCAATACATGTAAATACACGAGATCAGATTTATGGCGGGAATCATGTACAGAGCCCTTAACAACAACAATGAACAGAACGGATGCCTTAACCATGTTCTTCGACACCTAAGAGATGGAACGCCAAGACATAGGACACTTCAACTATCGGGAGATCGATTACAAGACCATGTAAGCAGGATCAAGCAAATCTGAGGCATTCTCGACGTTGTGCTGGATAATTTATGGTCCTGACATGTTACCCAACCAACAAGACAAGATGAAATTCTTGCCTCGCTTTCAACCCCGACATGACAGAAGAAGTGGAGATGACGACACACCTGAGGCAGTTTACACATTTTAATACTTCTTTGCTCCATTTTTGAAAGCTACCTGCTTCAAGTATACATAATGCCCACGTGGTTGATATCTACTGTAACTCACTAGAGGTCTCGTTTATTTCTCTGTTAAATCAATAATTTAAACTCGATGAGATCATTTGTTCAGTAGACCCATAAGGAGATTCAAGTGCACTTAATGAGGTAGGTCAAGTCTTCATGCATACTTCTTTCCTAGCACCACTAAAACGTATCTATAGCCACTCATTTATCTTTTAGCCAACATAAATTGCGAAACTTTATTGCAGAGGTATACGTCAAACATTCCAGCATTTCTCTTTAATAATCGGTACTTTAATATTTTGAGGTAGTTAAACTTCTTGTGCCTTATTCTTAGATGACAGCGTCATCTTATTTTAGTATTCACCCGCAATCGTTGTCAGAAAATATAATTTACGTATACTTTTGCTTATAAAAACATGTTAATTCGGCAATAAACTCAAAGAAGACTTCGTGGGTAAACAGGTATTAGTAACCTTTAACAGTGTCACTTATTATAACAATCAAGCCTCCATCTGCGCTCTTTTCTAGAACGCAAGGAGATCACACATCATCATCTGATTGCCAACTGTTCCGACCAGCATTTTCTGACCGTAGACACTGGCCACACTGGAGCCTTTGAGCAGCGTGCCGTCGTCGGCGAGCACCTCTCGGATCTCGGGGTTCAGTTCTGCATCGAAGCGCACCCATAAGACCTGTGAAATGATAGAACATGAATGATGATTGATTATTGAATGATGATGACAATGTGCAATAATTGCCCAAGTAAAGTTATTCGAAGATATCTCAATATATTCAGTTAACCATAAAATCAACGATAGATACTCATGTTTATCAGGACGCCCCCTTTCCTGACGTGTTCAGTTCTGAAGTCCACAATGTGGAGTCGCTGATTTGCTGGTAACCGCTTACCTGAGTGGTTCCCGTCCACCTATCTCCAGTCAGTAGATCAAATTTATGGAGAAGGTACTGACATCCCAGCCACAAGTCTCCTTTACTGTCAACATTGATGTTGTCAACTGACGTGTGCATGTAGATTTTCTGGGAAAACATTGCATGCAAAGATATCGACTTTAAAGAGAATGTTTTGCCGATATCGATTATTGACTGTCAATACTATCATCGTTTTTATATTGAAAGATTATTCAGCCCTTGTTTTTATTTCAATATTCACGGAACAGAGAATTATTCACACGGCATATTTAATCATTGTGTATCAGCGTGACACTCAGTGTTCATATTGTTATTTCCATTTGCAAAAGGCCCTTTTTACAAGTTACAAATGTATGGATACAGTTGCATCGCATAAATGATAAGCATCACTTCAATGAAGTGTTTGTATTTTTTTCCTGATTTTAACTTGCCTTTCGGAGCTCTAGTGAACCGCGACGGTCCTTCGGGTTTCTTTCAAAAACACTGATCTCAGCATCCATTACGGCAGAAACATAGATGAACCTGCGCCACGCAATACAGGGAAAAGATACCTTAACATTAGATCAAGATCAAGCGAGAACAGTCATTCGTTTTCACCTCTACAGACTTGGTTGTAAATTTTTTTTAAACGTCATATTACCTTCCATCAGGTGATCGGTTGATACCATCGGCATAGGCGAACCCACTGGCCACTTGCTCGGTCTTGGAACCGTCGTAGTAAGCCACTGTTCCCGTCGGTAGGGCTAAGGAAACCTCCAGAAGCCCCAAGCGACCCAGGCGAAGATCGTTGGTGACGTAAAACGTATCGGCACTCGTAGCTACCACGTCATTGGGTCTAGGAATATAAATGAAATGACCTGTCAAGAAGTGGCAGTCGGTTATTTCCATTCGGTGACTCATACCATTCAAAACCGTATTATAAAAGTCGAGCTTACGCAAAAATGTTGTCGTCTATAACCGTCTTCCGATGGTGCAGCGTTTCAGAACTGTGGTCGTAATCAAACAATTCGACCGACTGTGTTCTTGGGGGCAGTGGTTTATGGACCACAAACAAGGTGACTTTGCCTGACAGAAAGAACAAAACCCAAAATTTATTTCATGCAGTTAAAACCTTAATTAACTTACGGACAAAAAAATTCTTTGTAAAACTTGAATCTTTTGGGAACCATAATTTAGACTTCTTTCTCGGGGTGTCCAACTTTAATGCAACAATCATGTCTGGTGGTTATTTACCAACAGACGTTCTGGAATAGTTTACGACGTAAATCAGTGCCTGTGAATCTGAAAGGTAAATGTTCTCATGGTTTATACGTCCTCTCGTTTATTGGTCTATTTGATGCTTTCCCTCCGTTGATTGGTGAAAGATGTTTTGAGGCCGCTAGAAGCCACTCCCTTATTCTCATTGTTCTCCCGCCGTTCAACCCATATGGCCCAAAAATGGTTTATCATTTATTTTTGTTCTTTCGTTTTGGATGATATTGAAATTTAAAACATAAAATACCCGTTTGGGGGTCCTCCCAGGCGCTTGTTCCAACCGGTTGCATGGCCGTCTTGTTGAAGGAGCTCCCCGTAATCTTTACTTCCTTCACGGCGTCGTCCGGTTTGTTAAAGTCAAAGATGTAAATACGGCCTTGGATGGAGTTTATATGAGCCTCAGTGAGGGCCACGCCCTAACATTAAATGGGTTTGGGTAGTATTATTTAAAAAAAATGTGCATAGATCTCCTGTCCAGGTTGGCATTGGTTCGGAACAATCGCATGCTGATTCAACTGGAAGTTTGATGAAGTTTTACAATCTTGTCGTTGTTTTATTTTACCAAGACAACATTTAACTTATCATGAGGTAACAACATATCAAGAGAACCTACCGATGTGATAAAGGCGATGCCGTTCGACAACGTTGTTATATCTTCGGAGCCAACATCTGTCGATTTACGAGGGAATGACTAATGTCGGTTATTGTGTTCCTGAGTTATTCTAAACAAATCCTCGGGGATATGAAAATTGCAGGACTTGACAAGAATGTGAATGAAGAAAGAAAAGTGTCTCTGGAAACAGATTACAACCCACTTTTCCTCGTTCAACAACCGGATGCTATCACTGCGTCATCTCATCATCTTATTATGATTACTTGCGATGTCTTAGACATGAACATGTTCACCCAGACATCATAAGGCAACACGTTCTTGATGCATTACTCACCTATTCCGGGGACAATGTGACAGGGACCTGGTGTGTGATTGAACATGTGTCTATGTACTCCCATGATGATTCTAGAGGAAGTGGTGAAGAAATTATGATCAAATAATGATTACAATCAGTGTGTTTACGACATTCATTTTTTGGCTAGAGGTTCCAGTAGGGACACTTTTTCCTCAAATGTTAATCAACTCTCCTTAGGTTTGCCAAAGTAAAGGGTCTACACGTTTATAACTTGCAGTGTTTTTCTTGTTTGTTTTTTGTTTTTTCGTACAGCGTACAAAGATGTTTAAAGTGATCAATGTTTGTTGCTGCTTTGAGACATTTTGCCCGTGGGGGGGGGGTCGCTAAGTTACTCGTGGTTACCCCCTTCATTCAGCTCTGGTATTGAATACGACCTTCCCTTCACCGATCCTTCAACCTGATATAATATCTGTAGAGTAAAGACACCGAGACACGCTTGCGGGGTCATATGAGTTACGCTTAAATGTGCGCTTGGACCAAGCTGTATATGAAGGCCAGCCAGCCAGCCAGCCAGCCAGCCAATGTGTCACACAGATACATCAAAAGATGGGTGCAACAGAGGATGGAGGGGTGAGTTACAAAATGGCCTTTCTCTGTGTAGGCTAATACTTTGAACCGCCGTTGCCGTTCTTGACACACACACACAGGTACACGTCGTGTGGGTCCTAATCATTATTCGAGATACTTCATATAAATTTCTTTGACAATAATGATAGCGAGATTGCAGGTACACGGACTCCACCTCTCTTCAAGTTAGCTTGATGAGTTCTGATTATCGTCAAATCGTCTGTTCATGTTCCTGTATTTAGCTCGGAAAACTAGACTGAACAAAAATGGTCGTTACAGTGAAAGTGCTTACGCTAGTTTCATCAGCCGTTGAAGCAGAACCACACCTATGACGAACAGGACTGCCTTGACGATGAAACCCGCCATATTGTTTGGGTCAGATCTTAGATGAATACCTCAGAATTTATGGTGGAGCTTCAATAATGGAACTGTATTCATTACAGGGCAAAATGTGTCACAAGTAGCGCATGCAGAAGTAGGCCCTCGTGTGTTGTGATTCAGTCAGTAGGGGTGTACTGAACCATTCAAGAATTCAAGCTCCATTGAAAAGAGTGTAAAATCAACCAAGTTTGGAGTCCCATGGCAGGCAACTGAAGTCCCAGAGGCATCTCAAACAAAGAACAATGTGTTGTTTGGTCCTTCAGATTTCATTTGAATTTCAATTTTTAGTAGGTTAACCAATGAATTTTTTAATTATCCGCCCAAAACAAACTCACCCCCCAAAAGTGAATGTTG